CCTAACATGTTTCAGAATTTGGGTTGTGCGGCTGATGGATTCAACGCCTGCATTCCCTTTAAGTACCCGAACCCTAGGAAGTTTGCAAAAAGGAACCCACGAGGTCATGCAAGTTTTTGTGCGTCAGCAATACGCCACCCAAATGCGTGGAATTTTTATAGGCAGGCGCTGCTGGAAGCCACTTGTATTCCTTCGCTGGCTGACATGGTTGAGGCTTGGGCCACAGCTTACGTAAATGCCTATATGGATTCTAGGAACTGTACAGGTTGCTCAAGGTGTGGGCCTGCTAGACTTAAGACTTAGGACCTCTCTGGTTGCGCGAGAAACGGCCCACTGCAATCCATCACCGGCTGGGCTCCCCAGCGGAGGAAGACTCCGAACTTCGACCTTACCGACTTCAGGGGAGACTTGGCTAGCTTAGGGCCCAGGGTGCAATGGGTACGTGATTCGGATTTCTAAGCTCTGGTTGTTCTCTTGAAGCTTTTGTATGGTAGAGACCCCAATTTCATCCTTATAGGCGGCTTAGGATTCAGGGTTACGGTTAAGGTTTCAATAACCTATTGCAAGTCCTTGCCGGATCTCCGAAGTTGCTGGCACATGGGTGCACGACGTAAAGCTAAATTGTTGATGTATGAGCAATGGCACAGGTTGCTGACCACACGACATGTTCCTGGGTTCATGAACTTCCAGAACCCATCCATCTCCTCACCCCAATGCAAAAAATGCAAATGAATGTTCCTACTATAATGTGATGCTATTTGTTGGACGGCGGGGAGTGTTGTTATTGGGGGAGGGGATGCTACCCCAAATGGCACCAGGGTAAATGAAGCAAAGCTGAAGTCCTTTGCTTTCTGCAGGAGACGCAGACAGAGAAATCACGCTCACACTCCCATTTGTTGGTTTCAAGCTATGAGGTCTCTTGTCTGGAGCCCCCCCAATAATGAGGATTATGGCATATTGGGGTCCATGTTTTGGAGTCCAGTATTTTCGGAAACTGGCACTTAAATGCATTGAGCAAGAAGGTGTGCCTGGAAACCGCTGTTCAAGACTTTCTTCTGCATTGGGAGGCTGAAGCAATCCCGTCCCTGGACTCTTCCAATCCCAAGCGCATAATTCTGCCCAGCAAGCCCCTCGCCCAACTCAACCAACATCATCAACCTAGAGAAATGGTGATGCAAGCCGTAAACAACGATTGACGGCGCCGTTATAGGGGCCGGTTGGGGGGGCTCAAGACACATCCAACTGCCCAACCCTCCGTGGCCTGCAGCTCTTCGCCCAGAGCTTCTGACTCCAATAGAGCGGCCTCCAGCCGGTTTGGAAGTTCTCAACGAATCTTGGGGCAGAAGGGCCGCAGTTGGTTTTTTCCGGGTCCATCCCCATCCTCCTGCCAGAAACCAGGCAGCCCATCTTCGTTTTCTCTTGTGGCTCGCGTCGTGTAAGGAAACAGAAGCAAAAAACAAAGCGTGGCGAGATTTCCAACCAACTTACGCCATGAATCCGAACGCTCGCAAGGTAGCTCAAGACACAGTATTCGCCCCAGCTTGAGCATAGCAATTTCGGTGAGAGACCGCTGTTCAGGCCCCCATATATCCCAACAACATACTGTTAGTGTGGAGGCCCCCAGAAAGGGACCCCCAATTTCCCTATAAACCACTATTTCATCCCAGTTTCTATTGGTCTGTTATGTCTCTATATAACCCCTATATATCCATATAGACCGACTTTTCTGGGCATGATCAGCCTGCACATCCTCGTCATTGACCAGGGCACGTCGTCGGCCATCTCCTCGAACCCACAGCGGGATGTCCTTGGAGTCAGAAGGTCCAGCTGAGGAGTGTATGTCCATGTGTATGAGTGTATGACCTGAACTACTGTATGTTGGGACTGCACTGCCCCCACTTGAAGCGTGCAAACATGCAAGCTCCGTGCAACGACATAACCTCCTTCCAATGCCAGACTTCTTGGGGTGAGAAGCCCAGTCTACAAGTCTGTGTCGCTGCACAGTTACGATGGGGCTTCATCCTTTGAACACGACGCCCACGACCATCAAAGATGTTGTTGGTTCTGGTATGTCAGCATGGGCTGCAGGTACACCAAGGTATGCGCATACGGAGAGAGCACTGCAATTGCGCGACTTGCGTTGTCGAGCTCACCAGCTGCACCCCAACCTCTTTTACGATGCAGATACAAGTCTTGAGTAAGTAGGCCCTGAACATTTGCAACAAATTTGAAGGCGCCCTTCATGTTGAATTCCAGATCGCCTGAGTTGCATTCCAGCAGTCCTACATGCTCCAGCCACGTCAATAAACCCCAGGTGGTTTCAGCAAGGTACCAAAATGGGATCCCAGTTTTAGGAGCTGCGCCGTGGGCCCTATTTACCCTGATACGAACTTTATATGAGTCTTGTATGGTGTATCCTGTTGGTAAGTGCCCACCTCCTGGGAACGTCTTGACAAGAGAGCGCAGCGTCCGGGGCTGCGACCTCACTGCGTATAGACAACCAGTCCTGGCCCCCACACGGTTTAGGGATTGAGGGTTGGGGCTTGGAATTGGGGTTTAGGGGTTGGGGATATGTTGCCCTAATAGTGGAAAACATATGGAACAGAAAAACAAACATGAAATAGAACATGGATTTTCTAGGAGTAAGAAGGCGATTAAGTAATGTCGCGGCCTAAAGGTTTACCAGTATTCAAGAGTGTTTTGGGGTTTGTTGAAGCTTACCTAGACCATGCTTCTACCAGCAATGAAGCCACAAGAGGAATCCAGGGTGGCATTGCCGATTGTTTGAATCCCCTTCCATACCCCAAGTTCTCAAAGCTGCACATGGAAGTCGCTTGCGATCATGAATCATGTCACCATGACGCGCCTTCAGCACGACCTGTATAAAGAACTCAGGGTCGGCATCAACGAACAAGTAGAAACCGTTAGAAGAATACTCTTTTTCGATCCGTTTTCTTGCTTGGGCTTTGGGGAACATGAATGGGAGGGCCAAATAGAAGGTCATAGTATAGATTCCAAAGGTACCGTTGATTTCTCCTGTAGGGAGCTACCCTGTGCAATTTCTGCCTTTTGCGAGTTTTGGTTATGGTCAAAGCTGTGGATTCAGGACTCGTTGCAAAAACTTTTGCAACCCTAAACCCCTAACTAAACCCTAAACCAGAGCCGATACCTTAGGAAGCTCAGTCATCCCAACTGGCTGAACCTTTTCCGACATCTGACCTAAGCAGGCATATCACGAAGCACTGCTGCAGTCTAAAATGGTAGATATGAGCGGTCATCGGGCAATACCAGATTGTAACTTTGCATTTTCCTACCGGCAATTCCCATACACAGAGTACAATCCCACTTTGTACTTTAGTTTTACTTTTTGATTTCTCCTTGACCAAGAGACCATTTCAAGCTCCGTTTCCTTTTCCAGTCGATTTGCTTACCTACTCTCAAAGCCCCAAATATCCATGTAACCCCACATAACACTCCTATAAGTCCTCTAAAGGGATCCTCTAAACCTTAAACTCTAAGTTCTATATCCCTAGACGTACTTAGCTTTTGATAATTGCGGTCCTTCAGGTCAGCCAAGGTGGTCGGCGGATCCATGGCGCATGCTGCGGGCTGCTAACTACAGTGGGGGGGGGGGGGTTCCGCAAAGATTGGGGTTTAGGGCTTAGAGCACCGCAAAAATGGTAAATCAAATGGAAAGAACATGGAATACAATGGAAACTTGCCTTTTTTTCAGGCATTAGAGTTTCCAGAAACAAGGGTCCGTATTCCGTCCGTATTTGGATCGTCTTATAATGGAAACTACCATCCGTAGTCCTCTTGAAGCCGTGAATGGACAGACTCGTCAAGACTTTTACGGCTCTGGCACCAACCAACCCATCGGGTTTAGGCTTTAGGGAAGAGTCTTGAGGTTCTAGAACCAACCAACCCACTACTCCTAAAGAGGCTGTAGCAAGGCTCTCAAGCTGACCAATAGTAATGAGCAATGCATTCAGGCTCTTCCTAAACGGGCCTCGGAACCCCAGTAGGAATTCTAATTGTTGGTGGTTATCTTGCTCATAAAATAACCAAAATTCAGAAAATAATTTGGAGGCCCCTATAGCTTGAGGCCTTTTTAGGACCTAAAAATAGCGGCCCACAAACGGCGGGCCGGGGCTGAGCAATCTGAGACTCCATCAGCATCTGAGCGAAGACATGAGTTTGTGCTGACGACAAGGCTAGGGTGCTGATGTATGCTCGAGACCCTGTAGTCATATGGGCTACCTTTGAGCCCCGGCTGCGCGGCGCAAAAATGGAAACCTGAGGATCCCGTGGGCAATCAAACTACCCAAGCCTAATTTTGGATGCTCCTCCTGGAAGCCTTCCGAACAATGGATTGCAGTTGCTTATTGGGTTCCTACTAGTTAAGCACAAAATACAAAGCAGGTTCGTGACACCCCTAGATTTTATGCCAAGTAGGGGCATGCTGGAGGGCAGACAGACTTGCCGCAGTTATCCCGCCTCATTAACTTACTACATCCCCTGATCCTTCAACTGAAGCCCCACCCAGTGAACTCGACATTTGAAGTCCACAAACAACACCCAAGCATCCTCACAGACTCCACGGCTGTTCGGGACATGGACATGGAAGTTTGCCCTAATTCAACCCTAAACCCTGAACTCCTAAACCCGAGTGTACGTTAGGAAAAGAGAAGAACTGCTACCAGAAGGTGGGAAACTTGTACTGTTGTAGGTGGGTTTTGGGGTTAGGGGATTGTACAAGGATCCAAGGTAATAAAAGCCTCACCAGACATTTTCTAGCCTACCCCTGTGTGTAGGGAAATCAGCGAAGCGCAAAACAGCGAACAGCATTCTACTAATATGGGGACGGCCCTGGAATCAATAAGTGCCCTTCCTAAACCCCAAACCCTAAA